TCTTAAGATTAGTCAAGGGGGCCAAGGGTATTCGGACCCTCATCTTTTCCCTTCTGGTGTCTCTGCCAGCTTTAGTCAACATTGGCCTCTTACTGTTCCTTATCATGTTCATCTACGCGATCTTTGGAATGATGAACTTTGCCCATTGTGAAAGAATGCAGGGTCTCAACGAAGTCATTAACTTTGAGACCTTCTTTAACAGCATCATTCTGCTGTTTCAAGTCTGCACCTCTGCCGGTTGGGATGGCATCCTAAACGGTTTACAGGATCAAGAACCACCGCAAATCAACGGTACAGCCGCAACGAAGGAACAAATTGCAGAAGGACTTGTCGTGGACAAGTGCTGGAGCAATACCAGATATACTTACTTGGGAATATTCTTTTTTGTTACATACCTAATAATGAATTTCCTGATCGTCGTCAACATGTATATTGCGGTGATCTTGGACAATTTCAGCGCCGCTACGGAGGAAGCCGCAGGGGGTGGTGTCACAGAGGACGATATCGACATGTACTATTCTCTTTGGGAGAGGTAGGCACATTTCACTGCCCAACACCAGGGGATAGACAGTTTAGAGTACTTATTAATGTATAAAGTTGTGTGCACTTGGGTGCAGCATGATGTACTTTCTAGTGGACCAACTCCATCGGCATGTTATCTCTCTATTTGGCCAATTTCTACTCTTTCCAGCCATCTCCTAAGGCCAGGTAGAGGCTTCTGGGAGGTCCTGTAGGCCAGCACTGTGGGGCTATACTTCAGACTGACCTAAGCTGACAGTGTGTGCTTGGCTTGTCCACCAGATACACTGATAGAGAGTGGACGTCAAGTGGACATGAACGTGTATCCCCTTCTACCCACAAAAGAAAATAGAAATAAGACTTTTCTTTCCTGTAGAAAAGTTTCAGCTTTAGTCCATTTAGAATTGAATATGCAGCCAACACCCAACGTTATCAGTAGATTTGTAATGTGACATGCTGTCACAAACAGCAGCAGAGAGCATAGTTGTGATATTTCTTCAAGGTAAGTAATGTTTTTTCTTAGCTAGAAGGCATAGATGGGTGTGTAAAAGTAATACTCGTGCTCATGAATGACATGTTTTCTGTTGTTTTTTTTGTGTGTCCCAGGTACGATCCTCATGCCAGCAAGTACATCCCTCTGTCAAAAATATCGCAGTTTGTCCACCAGTTGGATGATCCACTTCGCATACCCAAGCCCAACAAGATCACTTTGGCCTACCTGGACATCCCCATCTGTACAGGTGATCGGCTCTACTGCAAGGACATCTTGAAGAGGCTGACAGAGAGGGCCATGGGTACATTTGATAATGACAAGGAGGAGGTGGATGAGGAAGAGGAGGAAGCTGTGACCACAGACCACCCTGAAGATTACCAGCGGGTCGGCTCCACTCTCACGAGGAGGCGTGAGGAGGTGGCCGCCATGGTGATACAGCGTGCTATCCGTAAGTACGTGCTGAAACATGATTTTGACGAGCAGGCACCGCAGATCATCTTCTGATGATCACATGACTATGACAACGATAAAGAAAGTCAAGAAAGGACATCAGATACCGTGACTTGAAGCCCAAGAAATGAAACGGTATATTAAAATCTAATTTCCACAGTCTTGTCAGCACATGTCCAAATGCTGGCGCAGGAGACCAGTAAGAGAAGAAAGCAACATGTCCCAAAGACAAACTCTATGGCTATTCCAAAACAACACTCAAAAGAAGGCTCAACAAAAGGAAGTGAGCTTGCTCCTTCCAACGAGAGAGGCTCTGTTCAAGTTTCCTGCTTGAAAGCTCATTGAAAGAAGTCCAGCTAGGAGGTGAAACTCTACATATTGTACAAATGAAAATCAGCTACAAGCTTCATGGTACCGCCAAGCTCAAAGCTTACTAACAGATATCTGCACTTAAAACACTCCATGGAAGGAAGTGACCACGTGATGGTTTCCATCCAATCAGAACATCTGATGATGTAATAAACAAAACATCCAGCTCTAGTTCCTGTTAGGTGGACCTGCCGTGTGGAATACTTCACTTCAGCAGCACATCATTGCAACTTTCAGTTCCCAGTTTTCCCGAGTAGGTGCAAAATACATTGATGGCATGAACTTCCCACAAAGTGTTGGGAGAACTCAGAAATGTGGATAATTCTGCAACAAAAAAATCTGTGCATTCAATGATATTACACAAGATGCCCATTTCAGTAAGCACAGACTTGTCTTCCATCACAAAGTATTGTCAAATAATCAATAAAATGCGACTGAGTACAATATATGCAAATGAATTCCAGAGGATACTAGTTGATCTGCATGCAACAAAGAAGCAAGCGATGGAAATGATGTAACGTGAAAACATGACAAGGAACAGTATGTGAATTTACGGCACTCCGTGACTACTATGGAGTCCAACAAGACAGTCCGATTGTGTATTAGTCCGCCACTAAGGGCAAAAGCAAATTCGGACTTATTAACCAATAATGACGTCATCTTCAATTGTTGTTCAGAACTCATTGTCTCAATTTGAACAAGCCAATTGAAAACTAGCAATGCTTATTTACTATTCAAGAATTGCTGTATATGTGTCTGAACTTTTATTGGTGAGGGAACAGCACCAAGGATAAAGGACATTTTCTATGCCTGTGCAAGCAAGACACTATAGAAGTAAGTCTATGGCAAGCATTGTGTCCAATACATTGACTTCCTGTGTGCATAAACTAAAATGATACCTACCAGGAGACAATATCTCTGTAAGGTACTTTGCATAGTATTAAAGGGACAGTAAGCACAGAGTAACCAGCCTGGGGGGTGACATATATATATTGCCACAATAATGTATAATGGCTTTGGCGGTTGAATGACCGCTCCAACATGATCTAAAGGTGTTGGGGCAAGCCCGCATTTGTCTTAAAGCATTAACTGCATGCAAAGAAAATGTTTTATTTCCATAAAGGCTTTCTATGCAAAATTTTACTATACATTCTCCATTATTAGCTAGCTCCAAAATAGTCCACATAGATAGTACTGGGTAGTGTTGGTGGTTAGGTTCAGCAGTATAGTATATAGTAGCGACCATGACACTTTTTACAAGCAAATAAATTTCCTTTTCTACATTAAAGTACACATGAAAGGCTCTTTGTCCTTCTTACGTATCTGGTTGAATATATGGTTCAAGTCATTATGTGAGAGACATTGGCTGCTGTAAGGAGATGGTTAGATGAAGGAATGGCTGAAGTGAGCATTAGCATCAAAAGGAGATTCTGAAGTATTATGTGTACCACTAGTACTGTTAAGTCAGCACCATACTGTCAACCACTGATTGCCAGGAGGTTGCCACATTTCAAAATCACCACAGAATCAAGCATATACTTCGCCTGAGTTTCTTTCCTCAAAACTGTGTAGTAATTGAGAGGAGACAGGCTGCATACCAGATGAAAATGTCCCTTTGAGCTAGCATTGCAGACTCATTCAGCAAGTCATTTTAACTACTATGTAACATTAGATACCAGGCACTACTGTATCTGATTCAGTAAAATTGCCCACCAGTTACTGACAACATACCAGGAGACACGGAAAATGCTGCAGATGGTCTACCAGTACAAAAACAGCCAACGACAGTAAAACTAAATGTGAGGATAGGACAGGTAGACAAAGATAGTTACCGATATGCACTTCCATGCAATCAGCATGACAAGATGATGATAAGTAGTGGCAAATATACTGTAGTATATTAATGTTTACGTAGTGCTTAATGATGCAAGAGAAACTATTTTATCATGACTTTAAAGGTAAAAATGTGTTTGGGGTGGCTATCCAAGAAATTTCTAAGAAAATCTTGAAATTTGTAGGGAAATTCTAAGAAAATCTTGAAATTTGTAGGGAGGTCCAAAACAAGTTTGTGTGTGTGAGTGTCATCACCAGTCAGCCACAAGTATCCAGGATTTTAGATTCAGTGTGTGAAGTCTGTGTGTGTGTGTCTGTGTGGTGTGTCTGTGTGTTTCTGTGTTTGGTGCATATGACTAAAGAATGATTAAAAAATCTGGTACTGAACACACACACACACGTCAACACATCTGTCCCTGGTAATAAAGACCTTCCACGTACACAGACCATCTGTCTGTGGTACTGAACACCTGTCACATACAGGCAAACATCTGTCCTTGGTACTGAACACCTGTCACACCAGGCAAACATCTGTCCTTCGTACTGAACACCTGTCACATACAGGCAAACATCTGTCCTTGGTACTGAACACCTGTCACACACAGTCAAACATCTGTTCTTGGTACTGAACACCTGTCACACACAGGCAAACATCTGTCCTTGGTACTGAACACCTGTCACATACAGGCAAACATCTGTCCTTGGTACTGAACACCTGTCACATACACCCAAACATCTGTTCTTGGTACTGAACACCTGTCACACACAGGCAAACATCTGTCCTTGGTACTGAACACCTGTCACACCAGGCAAACATCTGTCCCTGGTACTGAACACCTGTCACACACAGGCAAACATCTGTTCTTGGTACTGAACACATGTCACACACAGGCAAACATCTGTCCCTGGTACTGAACACCTGTCACACCAGGCAAACATCTGTCCCTGGTACTGAACACCTGTCACACACAGGCAAACATCTGTTCTTGGTACTGAACACCTGTCACACACAGGCAAACATCTGTCCTTGGTACTGAACACCTGCCACATACAGGCAAACATCTGTCCCTGGTACTGAACACATGTCACACACAGGCAAACATCTGTCCTTGGTACTGAACACCTGCCACATACAGGCAAACATCTGTCCCTGAATAACTAGCCACATGCTGGAGCCAACATGTCTGTCCCTGGTGCATCTGTCCCCTTTAATTTGACCCATCCACATGCAAACACGTCTCTCCCTCAACTCAATCCACACAGGTCCTGTACTCCAGTCATGCAGGTACATAAGGGAAAGCACAAAAAAACAAAATACCAACACTTGTACTTTTCACAATTTATTTGCCAGCACTGTTTGACGACCACTCAGTGTCAAACAGTATTAGCTCATGTTACAGAGTCACAGATCTCGGAACTTCCACACTTTGACAGACTTGACCTGCATGGCTGCGTCCTCGCCATTGTTGGCGTTTGGGTCCCAGGTGGGAAGCCACTGGTGGCGAGCCTGCCAGAAGTGCTCCATGGCCTGGGAGCGGGACTGGGAGTTGGACCAGGGCTTGGGGTATGGCATGTTGACATAGTCATCCATGAAGAAACCATTCGTCCCACCAGTGGCCACATTCATTATCAAGTAGAACTGGAAGAAAAAAAAATACTATAGAATTAAAAGTATTCCATTTACAATGTTTTATGAAATATTTGTCATGAATAGCCTAAAGGACTCTTTTTAGATCTGAGATCACAATGTCATGTTACGGTAGTGTTTGGCAGAGAAGGAAATAAATGCTGAAAGGAAAGACTATATTGTTGGAGGTTCATTACCTACCAACTTGTTCTCATGCATACTCAATGCAACGAGTTCAACTGCTATTTGGGAAGTGTTAATGTTGTTATTTATAACAAATGTGCTGATGACAGGTAAAGGACATTTGTGTGTGGCAAACCTGTAAAAGCAGTATGTAATCTGTAAACCCAGTGTAAGTGGTATGTGATTTCAGGTGAGGAAACGTACATCTTGATCAAACGGTGCCAGCCTGCTTGCCCCAATCCAAGGGTTGTCACTGTCAGGCAGACCAAAGTCTCCCAGTGCCCAAAACCCATGTGGTGGTGAGACTGTCAGCATCACCTCATCATCTACAGAGAACCTGCACAGAACCATGACAACAGTAACTATGACAACAACTGATCCTCCATTCATTTGAGAATTTGTGATTAATAATTAAACCTTACATGTTCATTAGTTATTATCACCGTGTTACAGTAACTATGACAAAAATGTAAGGCAATAATAAAGGGTTAATTGTCAGATAACCCCACCAGGGATTATCTCGCCATTTTCACCGAGAATAAGGCGGGATATTAGACGTTATTACCATATAGCCTAACCAACTGACACAGTTATTTGACACAAATTCCTTTATGAAATTCCTCTATTGCTGAAAAATTATTCCATTACCAAAAAAACTTGTTACCAAAAAAAAAATGTAACGTGAAACCAGTGGCTTGGACAGAGAAAACAGATCGTCTGCAGGGCTTTTAATGGGGTTGTCCAAATTAAGTTTTAATTAGTCTTTTTCTGTTTAAATTTCATCTTTTTGATTGTATTGTATTTTCAAATAGGTAATTCAAAATAGACTTATGTTTTTAATATACAAATATGACGAGCCTTAACACTACTGTGTCCTGCCCCCTGTATAATGGTATGGTCCAAAAAGTGGTCGGTTATTCCAATAACCGACCACTTTTGTGGTTACGGCCTGATAACCAATGAGAAATGGAGCCTTTTCATTGGTCGATGTTTTCTGGCTATATGATAATTTCTTGTAACCACCTTATGTGCATTGCAGGCCATCAACATTCTCCAGACTAGCAGGTGGTCTCAACTTCCAGGCACCTTGACACATGTCATGTTTCAGTCCATGTTATAACAAGAGGGCATCACATGAAGACCAATGTGATGGTCAAAAATTCATACAATGAGCAATTTTTCTTTGTATGGGGAATAAAAGTTCATAAAGTGTATAACGCCTCGCTGCCATATTCAGCTTTTCTGAAACTAGTTTTTGTGGCCTAGACTGTCAGGAGCTGTCTAAACGGGACATTTGGTGTTCTTACTTGAGATACTGGTCAGTCCACACCATGGTCCAGTTGTGGAAGTCACTCCCATACGTCCCAGTGTGCGCCTCCCTGGCAAGAGCAAATATGGAGATTGGTAACAAGGCTACTGATGATGATCATGACAAGGCTTTAACCACAGAGGAACAGTTGGTCCCCTCTCAGCAACATTTCTAGAAGACATAGTTTCTTCTTGGCATATAACTATATGATGATTGTTATATGTTAATTAACACCCATATCCGATACTATACTCTTAAGTAATAGTGGCGTCGGGTGGTGTAGTTGTTAGAGCAATCGACTATGAACCGGGGAGACCCGGGTTTGATTCCGAGTCGTACCCGGTACATGTCTGAACATGCGCCCCAACGTTGTGCCCTTGGGAGAGGCACTTTACACGACTTTCCTCACTCCACCCAGGTGTGAATGGGTACCTAACTTCGGTTGGGGAAAGTCGTATTGAGGTCACCTTATGGCGCCGAATGGCAGCTGCACAGACCCTTGCGACAGTTCCACAAAAAATAATTGTGGAACAAATATGTGTATCATGTGTATTATTTGATTGTTGTAATTGTTGTGATTTGTATTGATTATTATGTGATACCCTGCGGTTGATGTACTCTTTGTTTATGCTTCGGCGTAACTGTTCGATCAAAAATCTTTATTGTCAAGTCACAAAGATGAATTTGTACATCAATTTCATCATGTAATGTTCATGTTGAGTGGATCCGGCGAACATGAGCTGCTTGGATGGCTGCAAGATCGTGACTGTATAATTCTATCGGCTGTAACGTTATGAAAATCAATTTTTAACAACTCTCATTGTACTAGTATTTGTGCCATGGAAAGATTTTTAAAAAATAGTTAAGATTTTTAACATTTGTACTGTACCGTGAATACATTTTTATGAATAAAGTTGTGGCATACGAGATCGTGAGTGCGTTGTTTGTCTTGTGTGTAATTATGCTCCTTGCTATCCCCCTTCCCCTCCCCTTCGGGACGCCATTAGGGCTATTCCGGAGTATCGTATAGGCCGGGTAACTGTATAAACTGCGCTGACAAACGGGCTATACAAATATGCGGAATCCTCTGTAGTAAGGAGGTCTTATAAAGAACCCACTGGTACAAACTGCAAGTTGGTGAATGTTGCCCGTTATAGGATTTTTTCTTGTTGAAGAGACTTAAAGACACGCAGCATCAAGACATTTAATGCAAATGTAGTTAAATATATCAGAAAAATAGATACTTAAAATGACCAGAAAGGGCATCTGACAGATTCAACAAATCCCTGTATATTATATGCATTGACAAGACACCCATTAATCATACTACTATTAAATACTGCAGAAATTGTACTTGTATCTGGTTTGCTGCAGTACCCATGTAGATAAGAAGAACACAGGGAAGGTACATGTACTTCTCAGCCCTTGTCTTGACGAAGCCGTTATAGGGCCAGACACCGCTGGGTCCCCAGTGCAGGGTGCTAGTGGTGACATCAACACCCAGAGAGGCACCCCAGGATGCATACAAGTTACGGTTTCCTATATCGGACGGACAAATAAAAATATTATGTATCTTTATTATACCCCTTTGTAATACGTTTATTGCACATTTATACCATAATAACTATACTAAAAGCAGAGGTGGACCACATCATCGAAAGATGAGAGTGGCAATGATGATGGACAATAAAAATACATATTTACTGTGCATTACATCACATTCAACAATTTAAACAATGTGACAGGCCACGTGTTTGTGTCTGTGTGCACACGTGTGTCTGTCTGTGTGTGCCTGTATGTCTGTATCTGTGTATGTCTGTGTGTGTGTGTGTGTTTGTGTCTGTGTTTGTGGTGTCTGTGTGCACACGTGTGGCTGTCTGTGTGTGCCTGTATGTCTGTATCTGTGTATGCCTGTGTGTGTGTGTGTGTGTGTCTGTGTGCACACGTGTGTCTGTCTGTGTGTGCCTGTATGTTTGTATCTGTGTATGCCTGTGTGTGCGTGTGTGTGTTTGTGTCTGTGTCTGTGTGCACACATGTGTCCGTCCGTGTGTGTGCCTGTATGTCTGTATCTGTGTATGCCTGTGTATGTGTGTGTGTGTGTGTATGTTTGTGTATGTGCGTGTGTTTGTTTGTGTCTGTGTGCACATGTGTGGCTGTCTGTGTGTGCCTGTATGTCTGTATCTGTGTATGCCTCTGTGTGTGTGTGTGTCTGTGTGTGTGTGTGTGTGTGTGTGTGTGTCTTAATGTTGCCAGAGGTTCCCACCTCTTGTCTCCACGATGTCAATCTCCCCTGACTTTGGCCAATCCCCGTAAACCCAGGCCTGAGGCAGCAGCCAAATCGCTGCAGACAAATTAAACATAAAATAACAAATTGAATGTAACTGGTCACTGAGCATGAAAAGTACGAATGTCAAAAATTCAAGAAATTATTATTTGGTGTTGTGCTCTTCATCCTAACCCTTTCTCATATGAACACATATTTCATCATAACCCTGCATCACCTGAACATCTTTATCCTGACGTTCTTCATATCTTTATCGTATCCCTGCCTCACCTGAACACATCTTCATCCTAACCTTACCTCACCTGAACATCTACATATTAACCTTGCCTCACATGAAAACATCATCCTAACCGCTTCTCACCTGAATACATATTTATCCTAACCCTGTCTCAGCTGAACACAACTTCATTCTAACCTTGTCTCACCTGAACACATCTTCATCATAAGGCCACACAAATTTAATTTGTTGTTTCTCGGATTTTTTCAGAAAAAATATGTGACAGGGCAAAATAGAAATTAAAAAAACACCCCATGATAGCCGTAAATGCTTTGATATGTCATCCTATCCTGTGTCACCTGAACACATCTTCATTCTAACCCTTCCTCATCCGAACACATCTCCATCCTAACCCTGTCTCACCTGTACACATCTTCATCCTGATCCTGTCTCACCTGAACACATATCCATCCTGACCTTGCCTCATCTGAACACTAATCATCCTAACCCTGCATCACCTGAACACATCTTCATCCTAACCCTGTCTCACATGTGCACATCTTGATCCTAACCCTGTCTCACCTAATACATCATTATCCTAACCTGCCTCATTTGAACACATCTTCATCCTAATACCTGAACATCTTCATCCTAACACTGTCTCACCTGATCACATCTTCATCCTAACCCTGTCTCACCTGAACATCTTTATCCTAACCCTGTCTCACCTGAACATCTTCATCCTAACACTGTCTCACCTGAACATCTTCATCCTAACACTGCCTCATCTGAACATCTTCATCCTAACACTGCCTCATCTGAACATCTTTATCCTAACCCTGTCTCACCTGAACATCTTCATCCTAACACTGCCTCATCTGAACATCTTTATCCTAACCCTGTCTCACCTGAACATCTTTATCCTAACCCTGTCTCACCTGAACATCTTCATCCTAACACTGTCTTACCTGAACATCTTCATCCTAACCCTGCCTCACCTGAACATCTTTATCCTAACCCTGTCTCACCTGAACATCTTCATCCTAACACTGTCTCACCTGAACATCTTCATCCTAACCCTGCCTCATCTGAACATCTTTATCCTAACCCTGTCTCACCTGAACATCTTCATCCTAACACTGTCTCACCTGAACATCTTCATCCTAACCCTGCCTCACCTGAACATCTTTATCCTAACCCTGTCTCACCTGAACATCTTCATCCTAACACTGTCTCACCTGAACATCTTCATCCTAACCCTGCCTCACCTGAACATCTTTATCCTAACCCTGTCTCACCTGAACATCTTCATCCTAACACTGTCTCACCTGAACATCTTCATCCTAACCCTGCCTCACCTGAACATCTTTATCCTAACCCTGTCTCACCTGAACATCTTCATCCTAACACTGTCTCACCTGAACATCTTCATCCTAACCCTGCCTCACCTGAACATCTTTATCCTAACCCTGTCTCACCTGAACATCTTCATCCTAACACTGTCTCACCTGAACATCTTCATCCTAACCCTGCCTCACCTGAACATCTTTATCCTAACCCTGTCTCACCTGAACATCTTCATCCTAACACTGTCTCACCTGAACATCTTCATCCTAACCCTGCCTCACCTGAACATCTTTATCCTAACCCTGTCTCACCTGAACATCTTCATCCTAACACTGTCTCACCTGAACATCTTCATCCTAACCCTGCCTCACCTGAACATCTTTATCCTAACCCTGTCTCACCTGAACATCTTCATCCTAACACTGTCTCACCTGAACATCTTCATCCTAACCCTGCCTCACCTGAACATCTTTATCCTAACCCTGTCTCACCTGAACATCTTCATCCTAACCCTGTCTCACCTGAACATCTTCATCCTAACACTGTCTTACCTGAACATCTTCATCCTAACCCTGTCTCACCTGAACATCTTCATCCTAACACTGTCTTACCTGAACATCTTCATCCTAACCCTGCCTCACCTGAACATCTTTATCCTAACCCTGTCTCACCTGAACATCTTCATCCTAACACTGTCTTACCTGAACATCTTTATCCTAACCCTGTCTCACCTGAACATCTTCATCCTAACACTGCCTCATCTGAACATCTTCATCCTAACCCTGTCTCACCTGAACATCTTCATCCTAACCCTGTCTCACCTGAACATCTTCATCCTAACCTTGCCTCACATGAACATATCTTTATCCTAACCTTGCCTCACATGAACATATCTTCATCCTAACCTTGCCTCACATGAACATATCTTCATCCTAACCCTGTCTCACCTGAATATCTTCATCCTAACCTTGCCTCACATGAACATATCTTTATCCTAACCTTGCCTTACCTGAACACATCTTCATCCTAACCCCACCTTACCTGGCCAGATCCAGTCTCCTGTCGGCATCTTTGCCTGTACCTCCACCTTGCCGTACCTGAAGCTGAAGCTCCTGGCTGTGGTGATCCTGGCTGACAGCACAGGTGGCAGGTGCTGACTGGGAGAGCCCGCCATGTAGCAGCCATTCCAGTTTTCCAGGGTACATCTGCCACCAGCTGTGGCGAAATAACATGGCATGCAGAAGGTTACTAGTATCTCATAGAAAAATCTGTCAGAATATTGAATTTCACACTACTCCATTGCTGTTATTTTGAGTGACTAGCTAGGACTTCAGAACCTTGACCTGCATCGATCATGAGCAAGGTGATCTATATACCTAGCAGTCCAAATCCTCCCCAACACAAATACTACTTGTACTTGCTATCCAGGGTATGACATCTCTGAATAATCAAAGGGTAATATACTCTCGTCATTCCACAATACTTCTGACAATTTGTCATTAGTGATAGATTTAGCAAACTAGCAAGCCATAATTTTTTCCTAGTTACTGTCTAATTACCTTTGCTGTCTGTGTTTTTTTTATTGACTTTCTGGTCCTGCTGATTACAGAAATTTGCAATTTTATAACACTTCCTGCTGCATTGCCTTTGTTGTGTGACCCAAGACTGAAGGGGACAATACTCACCAGATGTGTAGATGGAGTTTTTCCATCCATTGCCACACACCTGCCCTGCGTCCCCTGCACAAGGAGTGGTACACTCCGACTCAGGAGCAGCACCAAACTGACCAAAACTGTCTCCACAGAAACACTCAGTGCCATACTGCAGCCCAGCATAGGTATACCTGGGAAAACATGTTAGACATGACGTACTGCAGCCCAGCATAGGTATACCTGGGAAAACATGTTAGACGTGACGTACTGTAGCCCAGCATAGGTGCACCTGGGAAAACATGTTAGACATGACGTACTGCAGCCCAGCATAGGTGCACCTTGGAAAACATGTTAGATATGACGTACTGTAGCCCAACATAGGTGCACCTGGGAAAACATGTTAGACATGACGTACTGTAGCCCAGCATAGCTGCACCTGGGAAAACATGTTAGATATGACGTACTGTAGCCCAGCATAGGTGCACCTGGGAAAACATGTTAGATGTGACGTACTGTAGCCCAGCATAGGTATACCTGGGAAAACATGTTAGACATGACGTACTGTAGCCCAGCATAGGTGCACCTGGGAAAACATGTTAGACGTGACGTACTGTAGCCCAGCATAGGTGCACCTGGGAAAACAGGTTAGACGTGTCGTACTGTAGCCCGGCATAGGTGCACCTGGGAAAACAGGATAGATGCAAATGTACATGTATGTCAAACTGTAGCTGGGCATACATGTAGGTAAACCTGGGAAAACAGATTAGACATGTCGTACTAGTACTGTAGCCCAACATAGGTGCACCTGGGAAAACATGTTAGACATGACGTACTGTAGCCCAGCATAGGTGCACCTGGGAAAACATGTTAGACATGTCATACTAGTACTGTAGCCCAACATAGGTGCACCTGGGAAATCATGTTAGACATGTCATACTGTAGCCCAATATAGGTGCACCTGGGAAAGCAGGTTAGATACAAATGTGCATGTATGTACATTTGTAGCTGTAGCTGGGCATAAGTGCACCTGGGAAAACAGATTAGACATATCGTACTGTAGCCGGGCATAGGGTATAGGGAAAACAGGTTACGGTAAAAATTTCATACTATAGAGTTGTAGTCCAGCATTGGTTCACCTGGGAAGTCATGTTAGACATGTCGTACTGTAGCCCAGCAAAATACATGTATAGGTAATAGATATATTGGGCATAAAAGGATGAAGCCCAGATTGGTTATACAAAAACCCCCAACATGCTAATTGTCAATGCTACAAGTTTCAATTGCTGCAAAAGTGAATTATTCCGATGCCTTATTCATATTTCCATTCATGTGAAATCAGTTCCCTGCTTTTGCAATGTGCTAGAGATACTGCAGATTACCCACCCCCCCGCCGAGCAGTGGTCCAGGCACAGTCTTGGTGTCAGGTCGGCAGAAGTCATGCGGTCCCCACTCAAGTCACGGGAGTCCAAACTCCCCCCGTCATGGTAGCAACCAAGGTACAGCATATTCTCTGTCAAAAAAAAATGTAATATTCATATTCTTCCCCTTTAGCTAAATGCAGTGGAGCATCCCTCTGCAAAAAGGAATGCCCAAGATTGTATGTCTGATCTGCCTCAATTCCTAGAAACAAGGCAAAGATGGCAGACTTCACACCCTCCTTACTCATTATGTAACTCCTTTGCGACCCCTCTAGTCTCACAGAACACAAACTGCAGAACAAGGATGTATGGCAACGTTGCAAGTTAACACAATGCAACATTGCCATACATCCTTGTTCTGCAAAAATGATGGTTCATTTTTTCACCACATTGGTGTTGAAAATGCATCCAATTTAGGTTACAATAAGGCCACACCGACTTCATTTGACATCCTCTGAAGACCCCCAAATTAGTGCGCGTGGGCGAATAAAATAAAATTCCGGCCCAAAATAAAAATGCTACTAAAGCATTGTGAATTTGCAGCAGTACATAGTGACGTATACGACAAGCCGGCACATGCTGTTTTTTTGCGGAATTGATGAATTGGCACTGTACGAATATCCACTGTCCAAAGTTACCATAGGCTTCATATTGTCGCTAACTGCCATGGACTACCAAGGCCTAGAGCCAGGTCAGAGCCTTGGAGGACGTGATTTATTTTTTACAGGCAAACATCAATGCGCGCGCGGATGTCATCCATAAAATTAAGTTGGTGTGGCCTAACCTAAATTTAATTCATTTTTCAGTAGGAGATAATCAACACCAATGTGGTGAACCTAAGAACTGATATCATAATGATTAATTTTTTGTCAATATATTTCACTTCTAGTTCCTGTTTATGTTGTAATAATCCTAGCATTAACAACACTCATTACTTACCTCGCAGGTTGATAACTCCATCTACCAGGAACTTCTCCCCATACCGACCTGCTGACAGAGTCTGTCACATGGACAAATTGGAGAAGATTCATTCTGAAATTCACTGTTCTGTTGGCAGGGTTGTTGGTAGGGGTGTTGGTAGGTTGTTGGTAGGGCTGTTGGTAGGGTTGTTGGTAGGTTGTTGGCAGGGTTGTTGGTAGGGTGTTGTTGGTAGGTTGTTGGCAGGGTTGTTGGTAGGGTTGTTGGTAGGTTGTTGGTAGGGCTGTTGGTAGGGTTGTTGGTAGGTTGTTGGTAGGGTGTTGTTGGTAGGTTGTTGGCTAGGGTTGTTGGTAGGGTTGTTGGTAGGGTTGTTGGTAGGGTTGTTGGTAGGGTTGTTGGTAGGGTTGTTGGCAGGGTTGTTGGTAGGGTTGTTGACAGGGTTGTTGATAGGGTTGTTGGTAGGTTGTTGGCAGGGTTGTTGGTAGGGTAGTTGATAGAGAATTTAACTGATTTCTTTCAGCCATTACACAACAGGATAAATATGTACACTTTAGGGCCTTATGAACAGATGTTTCTAATCACTGTTGTTTTACCAACTGATTCCACAAGAGTGCAATGGCCTTATATGATTGATGCAAAATAGATCCTAATTTGCATAATGGTAATCAAGACTGTAGTCTATGGGCTATTCCAAGATCAGGGTGTACCAATGACATTCTGCACTATTATATCATCCTCACTAAATATTCATTGCATTCTGTTGAAATTTTTAAAACATATTATCTACATACAAGTATTTTCCAGATAATCCTTAAGCTTTTGGTGGATAAGCTGTTCAAAACATTATCCTAGGACTAACTTTATGCCCAACGGTACACCCTGATCTTGGAACAGCCGTAAGCACTTACCAAAAATTACAACAACCGAGGAGCTTCCATCACCTGTAGATTGTCCTTGTAACAACGTGTTGACTGGTTCAAACATTCAGAGTCTATTAATCGTAGGTCTCATGAAGACCATAAGATCATGTTTCATGACCATCCATCTATAGTTTCCTCATTGATCGTGCCAAATCACATACAGACTTCTTCTTGCTTCACCTCTTTTATGCACCCTTGTGTGTGAGTGCTTAAAGAGGTTATCTGTTGTGAAAGAACATTTCATGTCTTACAACTTTCAGTCATTTAGACCTTGGAAAATAACCGTTTGATATTCAGATATAACACATGTACAGAGATTGATTTGCAAGTACAAGTACCCACCGGTTTTAGGAAGAGCGTTCCATCCCGAACATAGAGATTCTCAGGGTGGTTCAGGTACAATTGAAATTCTTCATTCTAAAGACGGTTGACAGAGTGTCATTTTTTTAGAATTATACACAAGATATTAAACCAACTACACATGTATTGCTTACCCCTCCCAACCAGCTATTGTTTATGCATTGTTTACCCAGCTATTACTTTCCCCTCCCCCAGCTAATTACTTACCCCCCCCAACAGCTATTGCTTACCCCTCCCCCAGCTAATTACCTACCCCTCCCCAACAACTATTGCTTACCCCTCCACCAGCTCAATTACTTACCCCTCCCCAGCTAATTGCTTACCACTCCCCAACAGCTATTGCTTACCCCTCCCCCTCCAGCAGTGATCTCGGGCTGCCATTTGCTGAGATCGAGGGTGTCAAAGTTATCTTCAAACACGAGCTCCAGCTGGTCCTCCGTCAGTACAGCTGAGACAGGAACAGAACGTGTGATGAGACACATTTCTTATGTTCGAGTGGAAGACAAAAACTTGACCACGTGATAATTCATAAAATCAAGCAGTTCAAATTAAACTAAAAGTTGTCAATGAAAACACAAGGCGATGGTCTCGTTTTATTTGAGGTTGCTTATGGTCACCAAATCAAAGTGGTCAGTCAAGGACTAAATAAGAAATTAGTTACAGACTTTTTCGTTTAGAGCCTTATAGGGGCATCTTCTGAAAGTGCAGGGGCATTTTGTCCGAAACTTTGAATCAGTATAACTCCAGAAGGGGTTGACGGGTTGTTAACAGGTAGATAGCGAGAGGAAAGTCATGTAAAGTGCCTTTCACAAGGTAAGAGGATCGGTGACATGGCGTGACATTAATTGTTTCTTTATCGCACAACTCCTACCTGCTCCAGTGGACCAGACAGAGTTCCTCCAGCCACCTCCACATGCATGCGCTCCTCCTCCTGAGCATGCGTGGTGGCAGTCTGACTCGGGCGCTGGTCCGTAGGTCCCATAGCTGTCTCCACAAAAGCACTGAGAAACAAACCACGAGCAGTACCTAACTCATAGTACTGAGGAACAAACCACAGACAGTACCTAACTCATAGTACTGAGGAAAAAACCACAGACAGTACCTAACTCATAGTATTGAGGAACAAACCACGGACAGTACCTAACTCACAGTCCTGAGGAACAAAGCATGGACAGTACCTAACTCATGGTACTGAGGAACAAACCACGGGCAGTACCTACTGTAACACATAGTACTGACGAACAAACCACGGGCAGTACCTAACTCATAGTACTGAGGAACAAACCACGGACAGTACCTAACTCATAGTACTGAGGAACAAACCACAGGCAGTACCTAACTCATAGTACTGAGTAACAAACCACGAGCAGTACCTAACTCATAGTACTGAGGAACAAACCACGGGCAGTACCTAACTCACAGTACTGAGGAACAAACTACGGACAGTACTTTTAACTGTAACACATAGTACTGAAGAGCAAACCATGGACTAAATGATATATGGTAATGTTACATGTATTCTGTAATAAGAAGCCTTTACCTCGACCGCGTATTGTAACCCCGCGTAGGCATAACCCAGATCAGCGCAGTGACGTATGCATTTTTGCGGCGTCAGGTCCGACCATGTCATCACATAAGGGAAGTCTCTAGCGTCTTCTTGGTCAACATAGCAGCCCAGGTATGCACCTGTGAACAGGTGTTGACATTACAGTCCAGATATGTACCTGTGAACAGGTTTTAACATTGCAGATGTACCTGTAAACAGGTATTAACATAACAGCTGAGGTACGCACCTGTGAACAGGTGTTAACGTTTATTAACATAACAGCCAAGATACACACCTGCAAACAGGTTTTAACATTATAAGTATACCTGCAGACATGTGCACACATGT